CAAGACTAGGTAAGAGCCTAAATTTGTTTTCTAACATATGGGTGCTTAGGAAGCAAGGCCATTCCTGGGATTCTGTATGTGTCCGTTTCCTTGAGTCCCTTGTCTCACCTTTGCAGTATAGCTACTGCCTCTTTGCCAAGTGTGAGAGGATGTTGAAGGACTGACCTGTTAGCTCTGAAGAGCTCTCACTTTCTGGCTGTACAACTGGTTGTGGCTTTTCTCCTCTTCTTCTGCTCAGTCCCTACTATCATCGGGGAATGATTGTATGGACCAAATCTGGCTACTGTCATTTCTGTGGCACATGAAACTTCATCTGTCTTACTGAGTGCTGCTTGGCATCCACAGTGAAAGGCTAATGGGCAATCTCCATGCTGTTTCTTCTGCTGGGAGTGGTAGTAGCCATGATTTTCTGCCAGGACCGACTCTGCACTTGGACTTTATGATGTGTTTTTAAAAAAAAGTTAATTGCTTCTGGGGGAATCACTACTGATATCTGTTCCATCAGAACACCTATTTAGGCACAGCTCCTCTCAGCATTGAAGGTGGGTCTGAAGCCAGCAGTGTCTCCACTGCTTGTGTTGGATAAGTGATGACGCAGTCTAGGTAAAAATGCCAGTGGCTCTTCCTGCCTTTCACTGACTTGGTTAGCTAGTACAGCATGGAGTACTTCACCATAAAAGCAAATGAAACATCATAATATGAACAGATGAGAGCCTGGTGACTGAGACACTGGCTGGGAATATTGTCTTCAAATATTTGTTGGAGGCCATGCTGAAATTCAAGACCTTATCTTCCAAAACTCAATAAAGTATGCTTGCCATCACTCTCCTCACCCTTCAGCACATTACAGTGTCTGTTTTACTCTCCCCCTGGAGTGCTTCTCCATTACGTTTTATACTGCCAGACAGAGAGACTCAAGCTGTGTGACTTCTTAGCACAACAGTCTCACCACTTAATATTGCTACAGCTTGCAGTGAAACTCTGTGGTGCCTATAAAATATGTATGATAGCAAATGACTCCAGCAAAAATATCAAGAAAATGTCATTGCACTGAGAAAAGGGGCTAAGAGCTCCTCTGTGAAAAGGGGAAGACTAAAGTAAACATAAACCTCACTACTGCATGATTCTCAAATCTGGAGAATGATATTTACCCCTTTAGACTGTAGACAACAGTTCCTTACTCAGCCTTCCTGGGAAGTCAATAAAAGAAGGGAGATCTTCAAGACTTGGAAGGACTTGTTCAACTGTAAAAATCCCCAACTTTTCTCCTCTATCATCTGCATAATTTTCCTTGAGTATTTCTATCATTAATTAATGGAATTTTGAATATAAATTCAGGAAGGGAAGGAATATTCTCTCTCTCCAAGTGAAAAGTTTTCCATGTTCTGTGATCTGACTGGTAAAGATTAGCCTTGGTGGACTGATGCTGGTGACATTTTGGCACAGCACAAGCAACATCCATTTCAACATCTAGCCTGAATCCTTCAACATTGCAAAAATCCCTTTGCTATACATTTTTGGACAAGTAATCAACAGTATATTTTATACAAGGATACAAAACTAATTGGAATGGCTGAGGAAAAACCATGTCAGTAAACAATGCTCTTAATCAGACAACACATTCTGAAAATATGACTCATTATCACAGGCAAATCTAGTTCATGTCATGCTACGGGTGACCTGATTGCCTGTAAGTGGGATAAAAAAATAAGGTTGTTTAAATGCAGCTTCAGGGAGTGCTACATATTTTATCTGTTTCATCTGGTTTCCCATGATATCAAAGCTGTGTTTAGTGGATGGAGATTTACAACCAGAAAATGATACGTATAGCTGAAGAATGTGAATGGATGATGTGCCTTATAGAATTAGTTACCATTTCTTGGGAAGTAGAGCTGGTTTACAACTTGCTTCTTCCCTCCCCATCTGGGATGGATCTGTGTCTGTGTTGTATATAGGAAATGTTCTCTACAATTCTCTGAACGTAAAGACTCTGTTCCAGGCACTGTGATGTAGGAGATTTCAAAAACCTTGACTTATGCATAGATTATAGTTAACATGCACATTTTTAGACGTATGTTTTCTTTACCCTGTATTTTAAAGAAGTATACCTAGATTGACACAACTGACAACAAAAGAATCATTATAGATCCATTTCCCTCGTGCTAGCCAAGGCTAAATACACAATATATTACTTTGTTTTATTTTTCTGTTTCTACAATGAATGCTACACAATAGAAATTACTCTGCTGAGAGCAGAAGTTATGCCTATTCTAATGAATGTCTAGTGACTAGGAAACAGACACAAGGCTATATAGACATTTTTGTTCCAAGGTCCCTGTGATTGATAGCCAAGCTATAAATGGATAGTGATTTTGGCAGATCAAAACAGTTGATGGCAGCAGGCATTTGCAAGAAAGTCTTTTGTATGGCTGACTGGTACTAGTCTTTTGAGTAGACCTGCTAGTTATTGTCTAAGCTACATGTAACAGATTTATTTTGTGATGTGCTGCAGTCATTTGCCTTAGGTAGGTCAGTTTTGGCTTACTGTCATTCAAAAGCATAATTTTTATTTAGGAATGACTCCAGACTGGGAAGAAAGTCTGGGTTCTGTTGATTTCCCTAGCAATTTTTGAAGTTGTCTTTTGTTACTTCTACCATTCACAAGGACAGAGCTTAGAGCTGACAATTAGGTGTGTATCTTAAAAGATCTTTTCCATGTCACTCAGATTAAAATCCAAAATCACTAAATCTGGTATGCGAGAGCATTCATTAGCACCATTCGGGATCAGGGAACTCTTTTTTTAAGAAGCTATTTGAGGAATTAAAATAAAACTGCAAGTAGGCTTCTTGCTGACAAGTTGCAGGTGTATGCCACATGCCCATATTGAAAAAAAGATGCGGTTATGAAGGTCTTGATGACAGACAAGGGTCTAAAATGCCTTCATCTCCAGGTTTCAGCCAGTCCATCTGTTTTTTATTTGCATTTCCTCCAGCTAGCACAGTTAGTATTTTCCAAACTCAGTATAACCAGTCACAAGTCTATAAAATTACCATTTTTTTTTTTTTTGCATTGTAAGATCCTTAGGTTAGTAAGGTATCATTTAAATCAGGGAAGTCTTACTTTTATGGTAACTATATAATAAATTTTACATCAGTTTTATTTATTATTTTTGGAAAAATTGAGGGACAGGAGTGATGAGGTTGAGGAAAGGCCACTTCAGTTCCACTTTGTTAGAATAAGTAGAAGCTTCTTATGCCTTAAGAGTACCTGTGTTATCTTATTGGTACTTCTAGCTTAGAAGATCTGGCCTTCTTTGATTTCATCCTCTTGAGGAAACGTTCATTCTTAAGGCTAAAAGACTTCCACATACTTTGGATTACTCCAAACAGCTGCACCCTGGAAAAATTCTCAAAGGCACACATTCAGAGGACAGAAGTAATGAGGCAACAGTACTTGGAAAATATCCAGCCAGCACTTTTGGTACTGTAATGTAAATTTTGACAAAGAAAGCAACTCATGAAGTCACATGAGAAATGGCATAATTTCCCCTCCCACTACTGTCATGTGAGAGATTTGTTTGGTTTTGTTAGAAGACCTCCTGTTTCTTATGTGATTCTCAACAGAATGGCATGAAGATAGACAAACAAGAGTTTCTCCATCTAAAGAAACAACTTTCAAAGTGAATTCTCAAAGACCTTGAAGTTTTTCTTTTCTGAGAGAACTGTAAATCTTGATTTCAAATAGGATTACTGAAAAGCAATCATTCTACACTGGAAATTAGTCCACTGGGAGGGTGAACAATTAATTGCAAAATAATTTTGAAGTACTGGAGAAAATTAGTTGAGGAAGTATAAACATATTTTTCCAGAAAGTGCATAAATTTATTGTCATCTTTTTTTATATAAAGAAATTCCTCAAGAATAATTTTGAGGAATGGAAAAAAACTATGTAATTAATTAAATAGGCAGTAAAATTAGATTCAAACAGATAGCACAGTTGTAGCTGTGTGGGAGTCAGCAGAAAGCATCCTGGAATGTGGCAGTGTGTGTTATTATAATCAAGAATCCTTTCTTTACCTTTTGTAGTAAAGAAGTTTTCTTTCTCTTTATGGAGAATGCAGTGCTTTTGGTTTGGTGGTTTTGTTTTTTTTGTTTTTTTTTTAAAGTCCGTTTTCCTGTGAGGTAGTGCTGTTTTTGATGAATATAGAAGAATTGTATACCCATGTATCTGTTTCTAGAGCATTATATGTACAAGATATTTTGTTCTCTATAATATATTCCGTGGCATTCCTTACCATAGGGTGTTGTTTAGCAGGTGACAGGTTTAACAAGTATACTAAGACCATAAGTGAATGAAAGGTTATCAAAGTGAAATGCTGACCAGTGATACTTGTTCACTTTCAAGGCGTCCCACTGGTGTGGGGCAGAGATGAGTGGTGCAGTTACAGACATTTGAATGAGTGTGATGCTCACAGATACTCACTGCGACAACACGGAGCTTGTTTGACAAGTGTCAAAGGAAAAATGCCTCCTCAAAGTTAAAAATGAAATTTTACCTATTGGAGGGTTGTTTCAGTATTTTTTCTGGTTTTCATGGCTGTGTTGATTGTTCAATGTGGAGTTTTAACCTCTAGCTTATGAATCAGATATCTGAATCCACAAAAATATGAAATCTCTTGTGCCCACATATGTTTGAGGTAAGGAAAGATGAAACCATGGGCATGCAGGTTCTATCTCTTATTCTTTAAGCAATGACCTGCAGCTGTGTGAGCTTAAAGACTGATGTGTGGCTGCAGTGGAGCATCCCTACTTGCATCTCCTAGCCCTGTGAATTGTTACCTCAACTATTGTTTTATTTTGGAGAATTCAGTGGTAGTTGGTTTTCTTGTTTTTTGCTTGTTTGCTCGTTTTGTTTTGTTTTGTTTTGTTTTTTTTAATGGAGTGCATCCATTCCTTGTGCAAAGGAGTGCCTCACTGTAAGCCTTTCTCTTCCCTACCAGGCGTACCCTTGCACTAACGACAAGGAATGTGAAGTTGGGCGGTACTGCCACAGCCCTCACCAAGCCACGTCTGCGTGCATGGTGTGCCGGAGAAAGAAGAAGCGCTGCCACCGGGACGGGATGTGCTGCCCCAGGAACCGCTGCAACAATGGTACGGCTGCCAGCTCTGGGCTTCTCTGCAGAAAATCAGCCTTTTGACATCATCTGTATCTATGAGTGTGCCCAGCAACAGTATTCTTACCTGGGTGATAGCTCTTCTTTTTCTAAGAAGAATCAAGAAAACTTAATTGTCAACTTTGTTCCACTCTGCCTAATTTTCTTTATTAGTATTTCTATGTTTAGGACTCAGCTACTACCAGTCTTTTCTTATATTTTGTGGTGGAGAAACACAAAAATGCTGCTGCCTAAAATCAGAGCTCTACATTCAGTGTGCTTTGATTCACTGGAAGGCTGCATAGAAGTCATATTTTAGAGGAAGCAAAGGAGACTTATTGAATCCTGAATCTACTCTCCCTGGGGAAGGCTATAACTGTACTGTTTGCATTCCCATGGAGACTGGAGAGAGATGTCTGTAAAGAGCTCTACAGGGGCTCAGACCATAAAGCAAGAGTGACAGAGAGACTGAAATGGGGTCCAGTGCACCCCAACCCTGGGATAGTGTGGGCAAAGTGGCTAAATAAGTAATAAAGGGATAGGAACGACTAAAGGGCTAGAAACTGAAAGCTTTAATATAAGGAGAAAAAAAAAGGGTGCAACATAAAACACAACCTGAAACACCTGCTCACAGCTACCTCTAAGAAATAAAGTCCTTGCTCCCTAGAAGTCTGATGTTTGCAGGTCTATAGAGCTCCTTTAGAAGACCCCAAAATGGGGTTGAGCACACACTTATATAGACTACAATGGAATGTTCTAGAAAGCTCTCAGCCAATCATAGAAAATTGTGTAGTCTCTATTTGCATGGTCACTCCCAGTTGTTCCCATAATCCTTTTCTTCCCTATCTCACCACAGCTTGACTGGATGTTATCTATCTTGGCTTCTCAGTGTCCAGGGTCCCGTGTTGTTACTTGCTATGTGGCCAGTTCACAGCCTGTCCCTTCCAGGGCAGACAGCTACAACTGTCTGACAATGAGTGAGCAGAGCTGTGGTGAGGCTAAGTGCTGGGAACCAGAGGTGAACATGTGATTAGAGATGAGCGTCACTGAGGCCAAACACCAGTGCTTTCATTATCCTGCCATGGCCAGTGCGTGTCTCTCAGCTGCTTTTTCTCTTATTCAGATCTTTGAGTGTCTGTCTTTCCCTTGCAGGTATTTGCATACCGGTGACTGAAAGCATCCTTACTCCTCACATCCCTGCTCTAGAAGGGCCACGCAACAAGAAGAATGGTCATTATGCAAGTAAGGATTTGGGCTGGCACAACCTGGGGAGGCCCCGATCCAAACTGTCACACATAAAAGGTAAGATCACATTTGGACTGGACTGCTCTGTTCCTTCATGCCATGAATCGTGTTGTTGCTGCTAAGATACAGCAGTGGAAACCAGAAATAGGCAGTAATTTCAGAGGGAGTGAATGTGTATTGTGAGAGTTCACAGTGTGACTCAGAAAGTGATGTAATGTCAGCCGGCAGTTCCTGTGATTGAAACAGCATCTGCTTTCTTCTCTGTATCAGATGTGGACTGACAATCATTTTGTTGGTTGTGTAAGACTGCAGACATCCTCCTCTTGTAACAGCCATGTAATTGAACACTTGTAATTGTGCTTACAATCCTGTAGCAGAATTTCTCCTTACTAAGTCTTATGGCAGGTCTCATTATGCCCTTGAACCTTCCTAATTAATTTCTTCTCTTGCATTTACATCCTTCAAACAGCCACAGGTGGAAATATCACCTCTCCTTTTTCTCAGTTTAATTTGCGTAAGTCTGCACTGAATCCGTACTTTCACATTTTCCCATGAGATGAAATAATTTGGCTGTTCTTTTCAGGACATGAAGGCGATCCCTGCCTACGGTCATCCGACTGTATTGAGGGACACTGCTGTGCTCGCCATTTCTGGACCAAAATTTGCAAGCCTGTGTTGCATCAGGGGGAGGTGTGCACCAAACAGCGCAAGAAAGGGTCCCATGGACTGGAGATTTTCCAACGATGTGACTGTGCCAAGGGTTTGTCTTGTAAAGTATGGAAAGATGCGACCTCCTCTTCTAAATCAAGACTTCATGTGTGCCAGAAGATCTGAATGAGGATTGGGAAGATAGTATTAAATGACTGTGGCTTTATGTGTTTAATGCATTATGGCATGGTGGAAAAAGGGGACTGCAAATGAAAGTGGAATGGCTAAATTAACAGTTAGAGTATGAATAGAAGTCACACAAAATGCATTTCTTTTTGAGCTGGTGGTAAACACAAGCGTAGCTGGAGTTCACCTACTGCGCAGTTCTGTAAATAATTCTACAGTTTGTGGGAAATGCTAGTATGCAAACAAGTAGAGTGGAAATGAATGTCACTTACCTTGCTGTGTTGTCCCATGATGTTTCAGGGGTTCAGTGTTAGGGCTACACTGGGTCTCCAGTGTGGTAAGGATTTTCTACAGAAATTGTATACATTGTACTCCTATAGGAAGCAGTGGATGCCAGGAAGACTCATCTGTCAACACATCATTGACCACGTTGCAGGTGTGAGAAATGGAAATAAAGTTACTGCGAATGTTCACATGTGCTGGTTATTCAGGCCTGACACTTCAGCAAGGAAGCACTCCTGCAGGACAAGAGTGCTATGTTTGGCATGGCCCTTATGAAAGAAGGTAAAAATTGGCCATCTCAAAATTTCAAGAGAGCAGCAATTTATCTAAGAGGAGGCATGTAAACAGGGTTTTGTTTCCTATACATGGGTAAATTGAAATGCTTTATGTATTCAATGTCATAGTAAGGCACTTAATCACTTGTATTTGCCTCAGTTTACTGCTAAAATACATTGGGTTGAACAGATGAAGCAAATGCGTGTGAATACTGAATCCAGAATTATATACAGGCAGTTCCTCATTAGTTCTAAATATACTTTCCTTGCCTAAGCATTCTTGCATTATAAACATTTCCAAAAGAAATAGCAGAGTGTTGAAGTGCTTAATATGAAGAGCTTTGAAGTTATTTCTCTGTTGCTGTTATAATATAATAACATCTCAACATTTGTTTCAAGTGTTTCAAGTATACTGCTATGAACTCAAATTTTTACATTTTATGGCACTCTGCAGCAGGATAATGGATTTGTTCTTGAGACAGCAAAGAAAGAGGAGTTGGGTCTTGGGAGCACCTCCTGTCCTGCAGAAGAGGATGTAAGAAGATGGCATGACCGCAAATGACTTGTTAAACATCATGTGGTGTCTCAGCATACCAGCCTCCAGCATGCATTCAGCCTGAAACTGATGTCCTCTCACTCTGGAATGTTCTGCCAGGAATGACAGAAATGTATAGACTGTGGAAACAGCTGCCAACCCTACATTGTTTGTGTACTGGTTAAAAAAAGGACAGCCTCTGTCCTTTGACTTGTCTCCCAGGTGTCTCTTCAAATTTTTAAAATTTTACTTATTTGCAAATATTCTTTTATATAAACTTCGGTGAAGAGACTGATATTACTTTAAAGAAGTCTGATTCTGTAATTGACCTACTGCTAAGTTGTAATTACGCATTTATAATTACCTATTTTCATGTTCTATAATACAAGAGACTTTTCTGTTTATTCAGTTCTGCACAATATGGGTAGGCCAGTATGTAGTTTAACACGTCACCATTACTGATACATTTTTCCACCAGTGGGATGCTTTAAAGCTTTAGCATAGCTACACCACTTGATTCAGCCTGCCTAATTAGAAGACAGACCTCAGCTTCATTGCCCTTATCTTTCATAAGAGTCTAAAGCAGAAGCACACCTCTTTCCCTACTGGAAACAATTCTTACTCCAGCATTTTCCAGTGTCACTGGAAGAGGAATAAGAAATTTCAGAATTTCAGAAGAATTAAGAATTCTTAATTCAGAAGAATTAAGAATTTCAGAAATTTCAATACATTAAAAAAGTCCAGGAACCAATTTTGCAAGTTTTATTTACTCAGAAGAAGAACTCAAGTGCTCTCATTTTCACTACATATAAAAGAAAATGATACCCAGCATGAGCAGAGGGGTTGCAGAAATGGAGTCCCAGCATTTTTAAGCTCTTCTAATTGGCCCACCCACCATTTTGCTCTTGCAAAACACAGTTATTTGGGATAATTTATTTACAGGAAATGTTTAATGAGATGTATTTTCTTATAGAGATATTTCTTACACAAAGCTTTGTAGCAAAATATATTTGCAGCCTGTTGACTTTAATGTAGAAAAATGTATAATAAGATTAAATATATTAAATTTCCTTTCACATTCCTCCCCAAATATTTTACCCACATTCTTTTTCTTACCTGCTGCTTAAGAAGAATAGTTCTTTACAGAAAGACATGCAAATCAAATAGAAAAAAATCGTATATCTTAGCCATACAATTAAAAACATCTGATTGTACTTGTGTCTATGTGTAGGCTGAGTTTTGGTAGAGAACATGAAGGTCATCTTAAAATATCCATATGTCACTTCTACCAAACTGGTTTAGGTGACAACTACCTGTATGCTTCTCTTGGTCGTTTTGCACCTAAACACTCAAGAATACATTTTATAAATAATCCATCTGGTTCTGTAACTAAAATCAACCAGGTTAAGTAGGAAGGTATCCAGACAGATTTCCTGGATAGTGTTACATACAGAGGGACTCATGATGGATAAAGGTTGTATTCAAATTACACAGCATTTTGTTAGAGGCTACAGCATACAAATGCACTCCTGCAAAATCTATAACTAGCAATTCTGAAATGGCAACTTACAGCATTCAGCTCTAATAACATGAAACAATCCATGTGACACAACTGAGAATAATGTTAATAAAACCAGCCAAGTTTTGATCCCAGGAAAACTCCTGCAGAGCACAATAAATATTGCAAAATAATGGCTGTGGTTATTGAGCAATGGTCTTGATATCCCTGTTAGTTGTTTCTAGTAACCCTTTGCTCCAACAGATGTACATTTGGGGGATGGAATGGTCTCCAAGTCACACAAGTGATTGTATAAAATGAAAAGGTTTAGCTACTGTCATTTGCAATATTTGGTTGGTAGGCCCTTGAAAATTCCAACACTTTTAACATCATCATAATAAAGTTGTGAGCATTTTCAGAGCCCAATGACTTCAACAGAGACTGCCAAAGCCTTCAGAGATTTAATCTGGGAACAAAAACAATAGGCATAGGCAGTTCCTTGCACACCACAAATACTGAGCCACATAACTGAAGGGAGTAGCATGCAAGCAGTTTCGTAAGACTGAACTTTGGGTGCTTAGAAGACAGTCAGTCAATGTTTTGTGGAAATATACATCAGTTTGAGAATAAAAGAACAGCTAAATTTGGGGATAATTGCTCTCACTCACTGTGTCACTCATCACGGGAATTAAGAATGAGTTTGGTTCAGTAATGTTTCAGAAATCTGCTGTCATGACACAAGTACACAAGATGTTATTCCTGAACAATTCAAATAATTCTCCTATTAGCCTAGAATAGCCTCAGCAATGCAACATCTCTTTGGAAATACTTATTAACGTCCCTAAAAATAATGTATTTCTACTCTATAACTACATATATCTGATTTACAGTATAAATGTGGGTGTGTATCTATTACTGTAGTATTTGCTTTGTCTCATGTTGTTTGTAACCTACAGTATTTATGATTTTAAACACTTTTTTAATGAAAACAATTACAATAGATTTACCTGCTTCTATAACAACACTTTCAACACCATACATCCAGCATCTGACACCTAAGCCAGAATTCACTGTAATTTAAGCCATCTGCATATTCTGACTTTCCAGCTCATTGTTTCAGCAACAGCAAAACAGCCCTCACCAAACACCATAAAAGATCTTGGGCAGAGGCTGAGAAGAGACATTCCTAAACTATTCCTTGTCACCAGCCCTCTCTGCTTTCACTTTAGAGCTCTGCATCATCACCCCCACTAGCAAAAGTAAGTGCTATCAAAGAAAATTTGTATTTTTCATCCCTTCCAGTTTGCTTTCGTTTAAGGAAAGCCATTTAAGAAAGAGATCCTGAACGTAGAAACCAGCAGAAACTCGTATAACAGAGGCTCTAAGCTCAGGCTTTTAGGAGTTTTGAGATCTTAAAACTTAATTGCTAGAAGAATTATGTAATACCAAGACCACATTTATAAAAAAATAAAGAAACCTTTTTCTTCGAGTTGTCATTCACATGTTCGAAAATAACTGCCTAAAGTGGGGGAGAAAAAACACTTCCTCCTCAGCCAGGCAACCTTACCTATTGTCCCTGACAAAGGGAAAGCAGTTGTTTTGGATTTCTTTTGCTCTGGGCACAGTGTATAAAAAGGAATCATTAATTTTGTTTTTAAATCACTCTAATAATAAAGTTATAGTTTCTTACCTTGCTCACTGGTCTGAGGTATGATGTTTCTCTTTTGCTGCATTAGACACGAGTGAAGAAACGGCTTCAAAGTCTGTGCTCCCTCATTTCAATCCTAGTGTTTCACTGAGATAAACTGACTTTCAGCTCAAATGCCTTATCAGCTAATACAGTTAAAAACAGTTTTTCACAATTTTTTTTTAAAAACATGCTCACCAGTACCAAAGAGTGCTTACAGTACAACACAGACCCTATATCCATTCTTACCATTTGTTTAGGTTCAACTTTACATGGCTTCTAAGAGTTACTGAGAAGCCCCAGATGTCTGCTGCAGGCCCCTCTCACTGCTCTGCCAGCTTTACACAGCCCTGCTTGTGGCAAACAGGCAGGAGGCAAGGGGAAAGCCCTGAAAAACTGGAGGAGGCAAGCGTGGGAGCCAGCCCAAGGCTTGAAATGGTGGGCACAACAGGCAAGCTACCTCAAAATGTTGTTAGACGCTATTACAAACATTGTGAACATTACTTGTATCCCACACAATAATTAAGAGCAGGGGAAGGACAAATGCTCTCTCTTTGTTCCTGAGCCACGACCCCACAGTATTGACTCAAAGAGAGGAGGTGTGTTTTAGTGACTCAGGTCCCTCAAAAGCTGAAGTGTTGAGCCTATTTCCCCTGGAAGTAGTATGCCTCTCACCTTGGTCCTCTGTGTATCCAAATCCCGGTAATTCCAGAGGCTTTGGACACACGTTGTTTGGATAACATTGCTATAGCTCAGAGCCTGCCCGTGCCTAGGGATCCCACTGAAAGTCTGTGCAGAAGGAAGAGGCAAAAGCAGGAGACAGCTGCTCTTTACAGAGCTCCAGCTGGTCCCAGAGCTGTTATTTTGACCAACCACTGATGGGACTGATCCTGATGGATATATAGCATTGGACAGGGCTCGTTGCAAATTTGTTTGCTCTGGCAGCTCCCTGGGTTTTTTTTGGAATTGCTTATTGTTATAGCATGAGTGTCAATTACTTATTTACAAATGTCTGGTACCAATAAACTCTGCTTTTTGCAGTACCAGCTTGCAGCTTGATTTAGAAGTGGTTTGCTGCCTGCCAACTTCCTGAAGCAGAGGAAATAATCTTTTAGAGGAAATGAAATTTTTAATAAGAGCAGGGGTAGGTTTTGTTTAATTTTTTTTCTTGCCTTTTCAGGAAAAAAAAAAAAAAAGAAGAAAAGAAGAAAACACCATTAACACACAAAGATTGCTTGACACAAATAGTAGTTTTAGGGTCTTTGGCAATGATCGTACTGTAATTCTCCACTGCTGTTATCAAAGTTGGCTGAAGAGTAGTTAACAAATCAGAAATGTATACCAGTATGGTTGCTACGGTATGGTTGTTCCAATTTTGTATTCCTCATAAGCTATTTATTTCTGAGAGTATCTTATTCAGCAATATTCACTCAAACTTGCAATTTTTTTCTAAAAAGCAAGTATTAAACATTCACTTATTCAGTACAATTTTAATTGAAGGGCTCACAAGTATTGTTTCTTTCCTTAGCGACAGTAATTTTTAATGAAGCCATCAAAGTATAGAGATACATTGAAAGTACTGAATGACACAATGAATTCTGGAAGAAATTTGTGGGGAATTTTGGAATGCAGCACACTAATGAATGGAATGACCACCCAAAGCTTTAGAAAAATCCACCTCAAAGTTATTTGGGCAATGTCTTTTTCTCAATAACTGACCAGTTTCAGATATTGCAACAGTGCTTAAAAGAAAATCCTAATGTATGTGCTCTAACAGGATAGTTAATTCCTCTGCTTCAAAAAACATTTAACTCTTCTGTGAAGTTCAGAAGAAGGTCATAACTCTCCTTGCCAATGCAGCATACTGCTAGCTGGTAATACTGTAAATTTGGAGACCTATTGGATCAAGGTATGAAAACTTTAATTACTTCAAAACCATTGCTCTTTATCCTGGAGCTTCCTTCCAACCTGTGTGGAGATGAGTGGTTATGGAGAGCATATTGTGTAGGTCATAGATGGTCTCCATTAGAAATTCATCAGGATGGCTGTAAATAACTCTGAAGCAAGAGGCCTTCCCTCTGCTATCACAGCTTCCAGTGAGAACTCAAAATGTATCAAGACCTATTAATTAATCAGATTAATTTTGATTTCTCTGCATCTCTGGATTTTTCATTTTGGCAGTCAAATATGAAGATGTCAAAATACAATTCTCATACTGT